CACCCCTACCCGGGGGGTGTTCAAGAGGGGGTTAGATGAGTATCTAGCTGGCGTCAGCTAGACCCAGCACTCTTGCCTGCTTATGCAGGGGGTCGGACTCGATGATCTATTGAGGTCCCTTCCGACCCTAACATCTATGAATCTATAAGGTGGAGACAACGGCAGTGGCGTTGCTTTTCCGTAAGGGAATGACCTGTAACTGGCACGTTCCCAAATCAACGATGACTAATCCCTTACTTGGCGGTTTGGGCCCTGGGAAGGGCCTGAGCAGATCTACTTGGCAGACTTTTCCCGCCTGGAACTGTGAGGGGTTAAAAGCTCCAAGTTGATGCTTGGTTCGATGGCACTTCTCTTTGGCACATATCTCACAGGCTTGTGCTACCTTTTCCCAATCACGTCGAACTCCATACGAGGCGAGCTCTGTAGCGACTTGGTGCCAGCGTCGATGGCTGGCCTGTGGTCCCGGGTGACCCCAATTCTCATGAAGCCATGCGAGGAACGGGCTTATTTCAGGACCGGGGGTAGCAGTGATGGGCAGAACTACGTCGGTCCGGAGTGGATCTTCCAAGAGTTTGTCGATGACCTCATGCACTGGGTCACTGTCAGGGCGGTGTGACTTGGTGTGCTTAACCAGTGGGAGCCGTGTAAATTTAGTTAAAGTTTCCCAGATGTCTTCCCAATTATTTAAATTTTCGATGGGAAGGGCTGTACCGGTAAGAATCTTATAGATGTACTGTGAGTCGATTGCGATGATTGGAACTGGAAGTGTATCGTTGTGGTGCGTTAGACAGTGTTGCAGTACCTTAAGGAATCCCAACAGTTCACATTTTTGAACAGAGTTGTCATCTGGGTGGGCCCAGAGTATTTCCACGTCGTGGCAGGCCTTACAATAGTACCCGTAGCCTCCGCCGTGTCGGGAGGTTCCATCCGAGACCATCCAGGCCGGGGCGGAGGTTCCATACAGCATTGGGAGTTTTTCCTCATCCCCCGAGCTAGGGTCAGGTGTTATGTCTTCAAATTTCCAGCAGCACCAGTTGTAATGATGGGTGAGCACCAACATGTTCAACGTCTTAGGTTCTCCTTGAAAATGCGGATTGACTTTTTCTGCATCTAGCAAAGGTAACAAAGTAGCAGCAGGAGCGCGGAGCGTTCCGTGCCCCCTTGCTAATGGCTCCACTAGCTGTCCAGCTAGGAGGATTTTTCCTACGGCTCCATACCGGTGTTGTGCTGCTTGAAGAGTCTTATGAGCAGTGTATACCAGTTCATCGCGAGTGTTGTGCGCGACAGCCCACACGTGGTTAGCGGTGAACCCAAGAGTCACGATTGATGGTTCACCAAGGTTGATTGCGTGGAGCTGCGTATCCTTGACAGCAGCTAACAGGCGATGCAGGTTCCGCTGATCCCCTTCCGTCCAAGGTGTGGATTTTCGGGACTTGTCACGGACCAGTCGCTGTAATTTAGTAAGAAGCGTTAGCTGGCTGGGATTGACATAGTGCCGGTACCAATTTAAGTGACCTAGAAGCTGCTGAAAATGTCTTTTAGTTACGGGCAGGGGTTTCTTCAATGGGTCGATGTCGGGACCATCATGCGAGATTCCGTGGCGGATGGGGCCAATGAATCGGGTAGCAAGGAACGTGATGTCATCTATGGGATGCAGGCATGACTTCTCCTCGTTGATCGTCCATCCCTCACCTTGAAGGTGGGCTACTAGTTGGTTGACTATGCTAGTAATGTTGGAGCTATCATGGCCCATAATAGCGATGTCATCAACAAAACTCCAGATTCTTAATTCCTCTTCTGACGGAAGGGTGTGTGAGGCACAAAAGTTTTTGAAGGCATTGTTCATAGCGCCAGTGGCCAACGACGGGGTGTTGCAGTATCCCTGCGGGCAGACCGTCCATCTGTACATGGTGCCCTCGATGCACATATTCAACACTCCTTCAGGGTCAGCAATCGGAATCGAGAAGTACATGTTCTTTAAGTCCAGTGTGACCACGACCCATTCGTTTTGCTGGAATTGGGCCATTTCGAACATACATTGTGGTAGGGTGGAAGGGTTGGGTTGCTGAAGTACTTGACACCTTTTGTTGGCCTCTCTATATAATCAACAACTAGCCGGGCTTCGTCGGGTTTTCCAGGTTTTGCGACTCCCCACCCCGGTGATAGGTAGATGCTAGCAGTTACTGGTTTGATGCAACCCCGTTGCTCGAGTCGTCGCAGGAGGTCGGTGAGGGACCCTTTGAGGGGGTCCTTGGTTGGGACTGGTCGGTATCGCCAGGTGGAGGAGTTGCAGAGCGTCAGTCGATGCCAATCTGGCTCTGGGATAGCGATGGGTAGCGCTTGTTCTTTGAGATTCAGCGCTTTGGTTTCAGAATTCCCAGGATATTGATGCCCCCTAGCACTGCCTCTAGAGAGCGTCGATGGCCTTGGATTGTAAATTTAACTTTTGTTGTGACTGCAACGCCGTTCAGTCCTTGTACCCTAATTGTTTTTGTGGTTTTCTGGTGGGGTATCGTTGGAGTGATTACGTTGACTTGGGCTCCGGTGTCGAGGAGGAAGAGTACTTGTTGTTGAGTACTTGGATTGACGGGGTCGTAGATGGTGAGTTCAGTGTAGGGTCGAAGGTCAGTGGGGTCGGGTTTAGGTTGGCCGCCGGAGTCACCGGCGGCCACTACTCGTTTTTTTGCTTGTCACTGAATTTGAAACCTAATTCGGCCCACAGGGGGGGTGTCGTTGGCCTTCGTTCCCCAGGATACGCAACTGCTGCTTCGTGAGCCTGGAGTGATTGAGGAGGAACCCGAACATGGCTCTTTCCTCCAGTGTTCTTTGGGGTAGCGACCGTGATTCTCGCCGCAGGTCGAGTTCCTGACGCTTCGGCCTCGGCGCCTTGACCGGATACGCCAAAGGTCGGTTTTCTGCGTCGGTAGGAGTTCTCTCGCTATGTTTCATGAGTGCCTGCAGTCGTGGGAGATGACTTAAGAGGTTCCCTGCTGGCTGACCCACCGTTGGCTTAAGAGTCGGAGCGTGATAGCGTCTGTCCCTCCGTCCACCTCTACAAAGGAGTCTATGGCCTCCAGTTGTTGGAACTCCTCCGGGGTTTGGTAAATGGCAGTGAGTCCATTTTTCCTTGCGTTGGGCCTGCACCAGTCCCAGTGGATGGACCCTTGGGTTCCACGAAAGGTACGACACTCCGATTATGGCCAAGAGAAGTTGTTCCGCACTGACCTTCTGCGGGCGACCCTCATGCCAAACGTGGGATTTATGAGTCACTTGTCCTACCACAAGCGCCGGGAGTGGAACGGGCCAATGTGTGTTTTCCGTGATCACGTTCAGATCAGTGGCACGTCCCCCACTCCACACCGCTTGTCCGGTTAAGGCGCTTGCTTCTGTCATGACCCATGGTTATGATTGTGTGCGCGCTTCGGCACTGCTGAATTATCCCCGCCATTCGGAGCTTTCTTTGCAGGGTGCATTTCTCAGTTGCAAAGAGAAACGCACGGTGCAAAGGAGTTCCCGCCACCCGTATGTAAATTTGGTTCCCACTATTGGCTAGTTCTAAATTATTCCCACGTGGTGGCTAGCGATTGGCCTGCTAGCCATGTAAGAGGCTTGAGTGGTTTCCGTCCAAGTTGGAGAGAGAGAGAACTCCGAGGAGAACCCCGCCAGGGAGGACTCCGTAACCATCTTGTGGAGAACTCTAGGTGTGCTGTGGAGCTTAACAAACCCAGCGTGTGCCTTAGAGGAGGATATAGGGGCCTGATCAACCTCTAGCCTCTCCCCATCGCCGCCTGATCCCTCAACGAACACCATCCCTGCGCGCTCGTTCCACGGAGACTAGCAAACTTCGTGTGTGTGTATCCAGAGCTCTGATCCGGGTTGTTAAAGAGGCTCGAGTTTGTCTGCGGGTTTTGTTCGTGTTCAAGAGGCTCGAGTTTATCTGCGTGTCATGTTCGTGTTTGTAACTGCAACTTAAGCAAAGTTTTCTCCTGCCTGCACCACGACCATCTACGGTGTAAGTAAAATAATCTTTAATCAACCGCTACGAGTCCGTGCCTAATTCTAGTCCGTCGTGCCGCCTTTCCCCGGCCCACATGCCAGGGCTGCTGGCCACAGCCCGCGACGCGCGCCCCCGAACGCCTCGGACCACTCCCAGCCTGCACAGCTTCTTCTGAGTCTAGCATGTCAGATCCGAATTCCACAATCAGTCGTCGCAGCCATATGGCTAAAGCCTTCAGGTTTCATTTTTGATTCCCGACAAAGTTCCTGTATCTCTGGTCGAGTGTGCGTGTGATATGTAATGGTAGTGCGTGTGCCGCCTTGCGCATCTGCGACATGTTTCATCAATGCTATCGGGTGAGCCGCAGTTGGGAGAGGGTTAAATTTGTCGGGTGGGAGCACTGCATACAACTTTCCTCCCTCATACGGGGCGGTTCCACTACTGGCTCCACGTCAGGGGGCGGGGCTTCTTTTGGAGCCACTCCTAGGGGCGGGGCTGTGGGCGATGACGTGATGGCCCGCCTCCCAGGGGGATTTTCGCGCCCGTTTCGCTTTCCTCTGCGCCGTTTTCTGGCAGCAGCGCCATGCGGCCAGTGCCATTTTCGAGCATTGGCTCGGAGCCCCCCACCGCCTGCTCCAGTGACTCCTTGCCCACTGTATGCAACTGAGCCTCTAGGTTTGCGTTCTCCTGTAGTAGACCCGCTACCGAACGGAATAATACATTTATTATTTTTCCTTTATTCCACTTTGTCACCCCCCATCTTGCCGCGTGGCGGCCCTTGGTCTCTAGGCCTTCCCGGAGCTGGCCGAGGAGTTCATGACCGCGCGATCCAGGCACTAAAGCTGGACAGTTAAACCAGTCTGGTGGGGTGGGTTCCCCTCCTCCCCTCAGGTACCGGGTGCACTGGGCAAACTCTTGAGTGGGGGTCAGTTTTTCCGCCTTCTTTGCCTTCACCCCCACTAAGGATAGGGTCGGTGTTTCATCCGGGGGCCAACAGAAAACCCGGTCACTGCCCATTACACACCCGAACGCCCCGGGAAGCAGGTTTGCTGTCCACTCCTTCATGACTGC